GGGCTTCCTACTTCGTTTACCAGCTTCACAGGATGGGAGAGAAGTGTAAGAACTGAAAAGAACAACGTTCACAATGACATCTCTTTTCAGTCCAAGGAATGGCAAACAACATGGAGAGTAAGGCCCAAAAAGGTCTCCTCCCTCTGAGGCTGCTTCACTGGTGGCCCAGCTCTGTGCAAGTTGTGTCCTAGCGGGGAACCTGTGATTCTATCACATAGGGCTCTGATAAGCTGGGTGGAAATACAGCATGTTCACGATACACTGGGAACATGACCTCCATCGGGCATTAGAATTTCTGACATAGGCATCAAGATGTCCACTTATACTGCTGTAGCGGTGAAACTGCTAGGGAACTCCATGAGCCCACTTAACCTAAAAGAATTCAGCAGATAAGCCTTGCCAATAGAGAATAAGAGAAAGAAAGAAAGAACAAAATGATATGGGCGGGTGGTGCAAATGGTTTGGGCTCAACTACTAATTTAAAAGTTGGTGGCTTGAACACACCCAGCGGCACTGCCTGGCTGTCTGCTTCCATAAAGATTACAGCCAAGAAAATCCTATGGAGCAGTTCTACTCTGTAACACATGGGGCCGCCATGAGTCGGGTTTTTGGTTAGTTGCCATCCCAGCCAATGAGCATGAGGGTAGGGGTGTGAATTTGCTGGTCCATTTGCAAAGAACTATCAAGGGCTGTACAAGCAAAGCCATGAGTCACTTACATATGAGGACATTATGGAATGTTCTGGAGTCATTTTGTCTTCACAATTTTCAACTTACACCTTCTCCCACATGAGATGCAACTGTACTATAGCCACACAACTTTGGAAACAGCCTAATAGTTTACACTGGACAATCGCTAAGCACCTTATGGGACATCCTCTTCTAGAATGGATGACCATTAGAAGTTTTAGGAAGAGTCTTCGTGGCATGGCAGTGTTTCTGCTATCGAGAGTTGGAAAATAAGCAGGAAACAACTGCATATACGCTATGAGCCCATCTACAACGTTTGAAACACATTTTGTAAAGACTGGAAGGAAGTATCTCAAAATATTAACTTTGCCTTTAGGAAGCCAGTATTTTAGCATTTTCTCCCTAGCTACTTTATTAGTTTAATAGGTGGGGGAGGGGAGCAAATTTAAAAATTCTAGTGTATCAGAATGCTTGCTAATCCAAAATTAGAATGTAGGGTTTTACACTGCAAATAATTGCCCACTAATATACTTTGTTGTATGAATCCAGACTTTCCATACATAACATGTACTGAAAAATAAAGTATCCAGGAAATGAAGTAACATCTATATTTGTTTCAAATGACTAACAAGCCAAAAGAAAACTCTGGCCATGATGCCATGATTTTTCTAGAAATCATACATATAAGCCACAGATTTATAGGATGTGGTCTAATAAACTTAAGAAAAGTTTCATATCCTCCCACCAAAATGGTTAACTCCCTGTCTATGTAAGTAGCTTTGCAAATTTAGCAGAAGTCTCTTTTTCCCTCAAATTTATAGGCTGAGAGGTTAATGAGCAAGTAGCAGCAATAGCATACCCCCTCCTGAAGACGGACGGACGGACAGACAGACAGACACACACACACTCTAAAATGAAAAAGAACTGCAAAATCCTCAACTTCAAAACAGGCTCAACACTACCAAAAGGATCAGTCAACCAAAAAATCAGAAGGAACAGTCGGCCCCATCTTGCTAGTTCTCAGCCACCGGATCAGAAAAAGTGTGTAGAACTCTTGAAGAGGAAGAAAAGAAGGAATAAGAGAAGGATTCAGACAAGGAACTTCAAAACAAAGTTTGTTCGCAAGTATTTCCATGAAAATGGTATTGACTAAGCAATTACAGGAAAAAACACCTTCTTTCTTATCTGAATGCATTTATGCCATGGGTCCCACCCTATTATTGTCACTATCAAGCACGTTAATAGCCCCAATGTAATGATGACTTTGTGTGGTTAGCTTTAAAATGGATGTGAATAGCTAACTAGAAAGAAGTGACTCACCTCTGCCCTGGTGGGGTATTGACTTTCTTAGTCATATTTACTCAACTGGTCTACCAATCTAAATTCCCTTGAGGAGAGACCTAAAGCTTAGAACCGAGCTGAACTGCAAGGAGAGAAAGAAAGTTAAACAGGGATGGAGCAGATGATCCCGAATGTAATTCTTGTAAAGCAAAATTGGACTTTAGATGTCCTGAATCCGAAGTTTCCTCCCAGCTCCTGGGAAGGCTGGGTGTTCAACAAGATCAAACACCTTCTCCGTTAGCAAGCGGAAGATGGTTGGGGTGGAAGGCTGTGAACAATGGGCTATTCCCATGGTGTTTTATTAACAGCAATTTTATAGCTCCAGCACTCAGCTATGTGATCTTAAGCAAACTGCTTCATCTCCTTGTGCCTCAGTTACCTTATCTGTAAAACAGTGATAATCACAGCACTTCCTTCTAAGGGTTGTTGTGATGCTTTGAAGAATTACTATAGGCAAATGGCTCACAGCAGTGCCTGGACCATAGCAAGCACTGTATTAAATATTCTTGGATCAGTATTTCAAGGGATCCTTGTAAGTACCCAGGGAAGCGGCTGCTGGCCAGGTATTCCACTGCCATTCCCTTTTTACAGATAAAGGAATGACATGGCAGAGGAGTGAAGCACTTTGCTCAAAAGAGGTGACTTAATGTTGGACTCAAACCCAGTTCTGACTGCTTATTACGTGTGGCTTCTCTAACGCTAATCAGATCATCTCTAGCACACTCATGCTGTGGATAGCGATGTTCAAGCACCATCGCAATTCTCGAAGCGTAGGTACTGTGAATGTTATTTAACTAACCCCCTAAAAACCTATCTGGAAATGTGCTGCAAAACTGGACTTCCACAGTGGCAGCTGGCCCTCACACCGATGAATGGCCCATCACACTGACATGCTCTAAATCATGGTACTTTACCAAGAATTTTGTTGGTGCTTGTGCTGTACCGAGTTCCTCTCACACAGCATCTGCTCCATAAACTCATGTGATGCTCACAATAGCCCATGCGTGCTCCCCCTTCGCTGATTGGGAAATTGAGGCACTGAGCAGTTGGGTAACTTGCCCAAGTTCCCCCATCCTGTAAGTGGTGTCTGTGTGTCTGGCTTGTTCACAATGTATAGATTGAGACCCAATCCTGGAAATGTGGCATCTCGGCCCCTCCCCAGGAGATATTTCCCTGTCTGAGGACAACGCTAAGTGATGGGAACAGTCGCTGGCGCCAGGGAGCTAATCGGCTCCTGAGGATCTTGGGTTATAAGCAAGAAGTTTGTCTTTCTGTTTCATTTTCCTCATACTCAAAGCAGGTGACTGGTTCTCCTTCATCTACCTCCTAACTCTGACCAAAGATCAATGAGTAACCATTTGCCAGGCCCTTGTGGAGGAATAGCTATGTTCCGGTATGGTCTTATCACTGATAGTCAGAATGACCAGTTAAGTTTATTAAAAGTCAAACCAGGAAGGGGCTGAGACAAAAAGCTTTCATCAGGGCCCAGCTCCTGCACAAAAGGTGGGCCTCCCTACTTTCTCAGATAGAGGCCAGCTGGGACTTCTCAGCTCCAGGAAACTCAGGTACAGGCAGGGTCAGAGGCCAGAGAAAAGAGAAGTTCAAAAGACCCATACACACTCTCAGTTTTACTCACATTTAGCTGAAGGGCAATGGTTAGACCAGAAGATTTCCACAAGACACCTACATATGAAGTTACTAAACAGAATGAAGGCCCATTACAGTGCAGAAAAGTGTCCTTGATATTATTATCAGGTGGAAAGAAAATGCAAAACTGTAGAGTACAAGACCAATTTTGTAAAACATTTATAAAGTTCATGCACGTGAACAACTAGAAAGCAAGGTGTCCAAATTTTCAGAGATTTTTAATAGGTGATAAGGTATGGTGTTTACATATCCTTCTATGTATTTTTCTACATGCTCAAGTTCTCTTAAACAGCCATTTACTACTTCTTAAATTAAAAAAAAGCTTTTAAAGATGATTTATTCCACCTTTTCACTCTCCAATGGCAAAATACATGTACACATGTTACATATTATTCTACATCTCTGTTATAGGAACCATATTTCCTGTACCTGTAGCCCTAACATGAAGTTCATTCAGCACCTAACACATAATAGGTACTCAATAAATGTTTTTAAAAGACAGAGACTTTACTATTGGCTCCTAAATACGTGCTTTTCTTCAAAAAAAAAAAACAAAGAAAGGAAGCTACCACTAGTACTAAATCATTTGCTGTTTACATCTAAAGAGTTACTTTAAATTGTCCTATCTGCATTGACTTTTGCTTTCCTGAAGATAAAAGCATGTTCTAGATGTTCTTTATTCTCCAGGACTACTAATTTGAAGAGAGCTGTCACTTCCCAGCACTGAGCAGTGTGGAGTACTGACATTCTATTGAATTATTTAAAGGAAATTAACAATGCTTCCTGTCCTTGGAGAGCAATATCTGTGAGAAAAGCCATCCGCGAGCGCCCGGGGTAGGCGTCACTGAAGAGAAGGGAGGATTTCTCAGCACCCCGAATTTCAGAAGAAAATCTATCAGTCCTAAATTACTGATAACAAAGGGCAAGTTGAGGTTATAACATCTCTTCCACTGGGAGCTGTGAAGAGTCCCAGGAAAGTATTTCCGGGGGGTCAAGTTCAATGGGATAGCGCATTGTTCATCATTCTCACAGAAGCCACATGAGCTACTGGCTCATGCGGCCTCTGTCTCCTGGGAGCCAGCCACCTTGAGTCACACGAGCACCACCCTCCACCCCCGCGTTGTAAACTGGCATTTTTATGGATATGATTTCCCTATCAGTGGTCAGTACACTCAGACATCATGGCACCCATTATCACATTGACCCAAGGAGAACTGAGGGGTCATGGCAGATGGGCCCTGCCCTACTGGAGGTAAACTCTGGATGGGCGGTTCCATTTCAGAGCTAGCTCGTCTCATACCGTCATTCTGCTCCGAGACCTACCTCCATACACCAGGGCTCCCCAACCTTTTGTAAGGAGTGGTTCCTTTTCATGTCCCTGAAGACTTGAGTGCTGACAGTGAAGTCTGAGGGGGGGTAGAAGTGCTGACAGTCATGTCCCTGAGTGCAGCAAGGGAGGGGACACTGCTGCCAGGAAGAAAGGGGAACAGAGTGAGGCTTGGGAGGGAGGGGACGCAGTCAGCAAGGCAGACATGGCCCCCAGCCTGACTTTCTGCCTTAACCCACACTTCTCCTCTACAAGGTCCAAATGAGGATTGTGATTCCCAACATGAACCCAGAACTCTTCCACCGCCCTGCCTTCCAGCTCAAGGTCTCCTCTGGCGACATCTCAAACACGGCTCCTCCGTGCACTCTCTCTTGACTGCCTTCCTATTGTGCCCCTTCCCATTTCCCCACCCCTACCCATCATTCCCCAACAGATTTAGCTGCCCCTTCCCCTGAGCCTCCAGAGAGCTCTCTAGCTAGCGTTCTCTCTTCCTCTTTTTCTCAACTTACCTTACTGAATCTTCTATGAGTTTGAACCCCATGAAAACTGCTGATATGTCTAACCTACCAAACGGCAATGACGTATGGTTCCACCCCATGCTAGAATTGTCATGGATCTGCCTTAACACCCCCTCCCCTGCCAGACTACAATCTTTTTTAAGAGAAGCAACTATATTTCCATTGTTGGATCCCTCACAAGATCTGGCAAGCAAATTCCTTGGGTGCTCAAGGAGTCTGCACTGAATTGGATTTTAACCTAACAGGGGCCCTATCACGAGAGCAGCTACAGTTTACTCACTGCCTGGTCATTCAGGGCCCCAGGCAGGGCTGTGCATGTTATCCCACTAGTCCTCACAACCACCCTGTGAGGTAGGTATTGTTGTGCCCATTTTACAGAGGAGGAAACTGCCTCAGAGAAGCTAAGGAGCATGCCCAAGGTCACACAGCTAGTAAATGGCAGAGGGGAATACAGAACAGGTCTTGGTCGACTGTGTAGACGGCTGCTGTGTAGACTCATCTGCCTGTTTACTAAGGCTCTATTAAACTGGGTAGAAAACTTAGTGTAAAGAACAAACTGGGGTCAGAGAGGGGCTATTTCACAAAGAAATATCAATCCTAATTATCTGTAAAAAAAAAAAAAAAAAAGGAAAGAAAAATGTGCCTTTTAAATTCATCATAAAGGGTATATATACCTTCTCTACTCAAGCTTTTTTAAAAAAAAATTTATGAAAAAAAATCCCATGAACAACTGTTTCATCCATCTTAATCCTGAATAACAGAATTCAGGACTAAGAATATGAGATTGAACACAATACGCACCATCTTCTGATATTCCCTAAATATCAGCCTGAGTATAGTGGGTATTGAGGACGCTGGGAATAGGAAATCAATGAAAATAAGGATAGATCTATAAAACGACAGCCACATTTAGAGAACAGTTTACATGGTTACCATTGTACCTGGTCCTTCCGTGGATCTCAAGTCTATCCAGGTGCATTAAAACCATGCAAGGGCAAAGTGAGCCCCCATATGGGAGGAGACCACCCTGCCCACCAACTGGCACTAGTCCCTGCTGGCTGCAGCTGACCCTGAGTCTGGACTTGGAAAGCCACCACTGCCAGAAGCGCAGAGTTCTACCCCCCAGGAACCAGAGCCTCTCACCCTGCATTCCACCACCCCCCAACCCCAATCAATTCATTTGTAAACAGGAGTGTGAGTCATTAGGCAAGTGGGAGTCCATACAGAGATTAGCCCAACTTTATAGCTAAGGTAAACCTAATTTTGCCTTGTGACAGCAGTGACTCACCTCACTGTCTCCCACCAAAGGTGACATGGTTTACCTTTCAATTGTTTCTGGAAGGAACTCAGCAATATAGGGGTTTAATCCTTGTCTGCCTGCTTTCTTTGTTTCCTAACACAATGCTAAGAGCAAGAGGCAAGTTTCCCAGAGAAGGAGTTTGGGAAACAAATGCATCTAAGGTTACCATAGACCACATCATCTTTGCTATCTTCCCTGAGTTATTTTCTCGAGGCCTATGCTTCTACAGGACATTGTGGCTTATGAGGAAATGTTACACACACACACATACACACAACTCTTTACAGATTGAGATATTCTTCCACAGCTGGGAAACTCAGAGCCAAATCTGCAGGCCACTCCTACCAACCTTTTAGAGGCTACCAGTTTTGAATTTGTAGGATTAATCTTATCTCCATTGATCCTATGGGCTTACCCTAATTTTCACTTTATTCTAATTTCCTTATCTATTCACTTCTAACCTTTTACATAATACACTGTTTTGTAAGCCACCTCAAATCTGGGGTTCAATAAGATGTCTTACAAACTGAACGTATACACAAATACAAAATCCTTTTCTGCATGAGAAGAAGGGTAATTGCATCTCCCCTAACAAACACAAAGCCCTTCAATGGATCCTAAAGATTAGAAAGTAGACATCTGCTGATTTTTCTGCTCAACATCCATTCATGCTTTTTTTTTGGTTAACAGTACTGTGGATTTCTTTTGGGGTACCACCCTGACTCTCAAAAGCCATGTGTTTTAGGCCCGGGGTAGACAAGTTTATTCCCTTCATGCCCACTCACACACTGCAGTCCTGTATCACAGACACTTGTGCTGAATCAAGGTCTCAGGCCTGTGGGGAAGGTTAAGCTCCTTCTGGACTTGAACCTGCCTCTATACAGTAAAGTCAACCTGGAGGACACCAGAGACAAGAGCTGGAGACAGTGTCCTGGTACATGGGCCCCTGGATTCAGCCATGCTTGATGCCTACTAACCTCTGGACTTTTCAGTAATGGACCAATAAACTCACTTTGCTCATGCCAGTTTGAGTTTGAGAGAGGCATTCTAACTGGAGCAGTCTCGTCTACTTAGTCAGACTGGTCTCAATAACTGTCCATCCAGGAATCAAGTGATAATGAGAAAAAACTGGAGATACTCTCCAGCTACTGCCATAGAGTCAATTCCTACTCATAGCGACCCTATAACGACAGAGTAGAACTGCCCCATAGGGTTTCCACGGCTGTATTCTTTTGGAGCCCTGGTGGCATAGTGGTTAAGAGCTTGGCTGCTAGCCAAAAGGTCGGCACTTCAAATCTACCAGCCGCTCCTTTGAAACCCTATGGGGCAGTTCTACTCCGTCCTATAGGGTTTCTCTGAGTCGGAACCGACTCAATGGCACCTAACAACAACAACCTTTCCAAAGTAGACTGCTACATCTTTCTCCCACAAAGTGGTTGGTGGGTTCCAACCACTGGCCTTTTGGTTAGCAGCCAAGCACTTTAACCACTGCACCACCAGGGCTCCCTTTGGAGATACAGATAAATAAAGGCCTCATGAGTTTTATGCTCCTGACGTGATAAGGAGTTATAACAAGGCAATGTATTAGAGTAGGTTTGAGTACTTTTTGAAATAAGGAAGAATGTGGTTTGTGGCCAGTCTCCGGGAAAGACGTGGGCCCCACTTCAGCAACCACACACCTGCTGGAATTGTCACACAGGTTTTCCTTCTCCTCGAGGACCCTCCATCAAAGCTACTTAGTGCACTGACCTATGTTAAGATGTGGTATCCAAGAACACAGCAGATCCAGAAAGTAGGGGCCACATATACTTAACTGTGCTAAAATCTGCCTTTCAACTTTCTCCAGAAGCACCGCCTATCTGTGACAAGGTTGCTTGCTCCAAATAGGATTTCAAGAGGTGTATTTCTTCTGGGAAAGGGAAGTTCTTAGGCTGTAAAATGTCAAGGGAGGGCAGGCATAAGGGAACTGTAAGTTCGATTTTCATTGGTGGCTTAGCACTGGAGGACATGGTGCACTGAAAAGTTCTGGACCTGGCCACACGGATCAAGAGTCCAGGTGTCCCAGCCACAGAGGTGGAGCAACATTTGTGTATCCCACTACTTTGTTTCTTTACGAGCTTACAGCCCCTTCACTGGGTAGCCAAACAACAGTCAAAATGTAGTATGACAGAATGGAACCAAAAGAGCTAGAAAGTACCAACTGCCCAGCCAGGAAAAACAAACACACGCGGGTATAAAAGAGAAGCTGAAAAACATTTTTTAAAAAATCCTCAAAAGACTGAAGCCTCCAGATATAAAGGTTTTGTATGAAATATTCTTCAGACTTAAAAAATTCTGGTTGTGTCTTTTCTGTAAGGTTTTCTCACCTATAGCAAGAGGGAAAGGGCAATTTCGGGTCTCTAAAAGAAATTAGAATGTAAAATGGAATAGGTTTTAGAAATCACTCATCTAATTATTTCTTTCGCACTTTCATTTAATTCCAAGGTCTAGATGCAAAGGAACTTGCCCAAGACGACATGGCCAGATTAGGGCTGATACTAAAACTCAGACTTCAAAAACTAGGGAATCAGCGTCCTATGCTGGAAGAATTTTATTTTGAAAACACAACATCTTTGGAGGAATAAGAAATCTGTCTTAGAGAAGGATATGGATAAAGGCGATTCACTAAAGAAACAAAATACTAGAAATAATAAATGAATTTTTTTTTAATTGGTGGAGAGGGTAAAATCCTTACATCCCTTAATCATTTGCCCACATATACATGCAGGTGTGTGCGCAAACAACAACAAAAAAAAAAACAAATAAAACAACACCAACAAAACCTGCAAACACATCTATAACCGTGGAACAAGAATCAAGGTCTTCATAGGTGATGCCAATCTAGCTTTAAGCTCCTTCAATAATTCTCATGTTTGTAAGTGAGGTAACTTTGATGTGAACTAATTATATTTGAAATATGTTGTCGTATTAATGCAGATGCCAAAGAAAACGTCTAATTGGGGTACCAGATAGACTACCTTTTTTATCATTAGAGACAAGCCTGGTTCTTCCCCAAAGCAGGACATCATCACTGACATAGCAAACGTATGCAACATTTTTTTTTTTGTTATTATTTTTTGAAAATGTGAGTGGGTGTGAGTGACAAGGCGTGAGAGTGTGCACACAGGGCACGTGTACACACACACGAGCACATCTGGATGTACGTGTGTAGGTAGGCAGGGATCATCAAATATGGAGGACAATGTCCTACAGTCAGGAATGGCACACTTACAGCAACTTACTCGCGCAATATCACCCAGCCATCCTGCTCAGAGTTAAC